AATATATATATATAATATACATACGATTATATACATACTTGCATACATTCTAGATTACATCTCGCGCGTGTCTGCTGGGTGGCCGAACGCGAATGTATATAATCTTAGCCTCTGTTTACGGCTCTGATAACCACCTCTTTTGTCATCATGGAGCTTAGACGATCGCATGTATGTGTTTATTTTTGTCTTTAGCTTCTGTGCTTGATTTGGCGAATTCTGTTTGTAGTTTTATGTTACTCCCTTATGCTTGGCCGAACCCCCTTGGCCTTTCTCCTCTTATGCCTATATGCCCTGGCGCTTGCTGCAGGTTGTAAAAGGCGTTTTTATGAGGGAACGTACAGCTGCAGCGGTTTATGGTGTCAGCAAATGCGCCATGTCGGCTGGACGCTTGCCATAGAGGTTTCCATCCTCCTATTGGTTTATGCATGTTGTAGTCTACAAGTTCGTTCGGTTTTCCTTCCTGTCTGTTGTTTTCGTCTCTCTGTCCCCCTTTTCAAGTTTTACCCACTTACTATCTTTACTCACTCACTCACACGTTTGCACACATACACGTGCATGTGCAGTCTCATCCTCTCGCTCTCTTTTACGCACACGTTCTGTCTCTGTCTGTCTGTCTCTCTCCCTCTCTTTCATAAAAAAAAAAAATGACACCCACACATCCACGCCCACACACATACACACTCCCGTGCTGGCACAGTGAACACTGACGTTTTTTTTCCTCTTTAAATGATGGTACTTCTAAAAGAAATTGTCTTGAACATGCCAGGTCTGACACTAAATCCAATAAATGGTTACCCAGAAGTACCTGGTTTATCACCCCGACGTCCCTGGTTTATCACCCCGACCCCCCTCTTTATCACCCATTCTTTCTCTTTTGCCATTTCCACCGAGTGATAATTATTTCTCTCTTATATGTATACCCTAAGCGACGGAAACAGTGCGCCGATCGAGTGCAAAAGCAAAGTTCGACAAGGAAGTAACTTCAGATTCTAAACTCTTTCAAGCCCAATGCCCAATTTGTCTGCAAAAGTCTATAACCAGGACCCAGGTCTGAAAAAGGGAAAAATGGGGGGGGGGCACACCCAGTACATATACGCATAATAGCAAGAATGGCATACTCCATATTCTAGTCTTCTTTAACTTTTTTAATTTACCGGGCTTAGTGACTTCAAAATCCCCAAACAGCATTGGTGTTAAGTGGGGCGGCGAGTTTGGATCTTATCAAATCCATCACTACCAACATTCGAGGGCCACATTTACGTGCTACAAAAAAAAATTACTTCGAGCATCTAGAACAATCGACAACACTGACGTCACTCTTCTGAGTAGAGAGACGAACTGCTCGCTCAGCTGGTTCCAGCCTTTCAATGTTTCCGTAAAGCAGTAACGTTCTGAGCAAATGAGGATAAGTAAAACTTGCATCTCTATGTTATGGATCTATACAAGCCTCTTTACCGCCTACTTGATTCAAAACACTCCACAGGACTTTAAAAAAAGAAACTACACGGAAGTATGTTAACCTTTGAATATTGTGACTGGCGTTGGATTGACCTGGAGGGGGGGGGGGGGGGGGGGGGGGGGTTACCGTAACATGAGTGGGTACACTCGCGTGGACGGCGGAAATACCAACCAATCAATATAATTATAGAAACAGACGCAAACACACACGTACATGGGGGAGGGGGGCGGGGGACTTAGGATTTGGTTTTTCCAAGTATTTTCTGACACAACATAAAGGTTGCTGTCAACCAAATACAATGGACATGGGGAAGGACAGTGAGTATTTTGTGGTGTTTTTTGGGTGTTGTTTTTCGTTTGTTTGGTTTCTTAAATTATCTTTTAAATTGCTTTTTAAACGATCCCTTACTTAACATACACATTGCAGCCAACCACATTCATAAGGGGGCTCGAAGTCTGTTGGGATTTTAAAACAATTTTCTCACACAATATAAACGTTGCTGCAAACCAAACAATATAATACTTGGGGGTGGGAGTGTTTTGGGATTTTTAAACAATTCTCTTTCACACAATAAAATTTGCAGACAAACGAATAGTATTTAAAATATATCTGAGCTTGCTGACAGGAAAAGGGAAAGACGAAATAAGGAGTAAGCTAATACGGTTTTGCTTTAAAAAGATGAAGTGCACCAACTTAAAGAGGAAAAGCTGCCGGTAGCGAAATTTTGTGGAGAAGTGCTAAGCACTTTGTCACTTGAAGAGTCATGAGACTGAGACTACAAGGGAAGAGACTCTAGGAAGGAAAAAGAATCTTTGAATCGAACATCATGCTTGGATTTCCACAAGTTGGCCAAAAGTTCTGAACCAAAAGTGTCTCAGTCTTCAGCTTACCAAACATTTGTCACAGAACCATGAATACCAACTATAGTAACGCCTCTGAACAAATATATAATATGTATATGTACATATAAATATATATAATTGACAAGGAGAGGCAACGTTCTCGGATTCACGCTAACCAACACAAAGAAAACGACGTTGCAGCGAAGATATTTTATAATACATGTATATAAGATGCACCCAAAGAGACAACCAAAGATGACACACCACAGTGCAGAATATCGACCTTTTCCTAACACTCACTGCAACCGACATTTTCTGACACGCCGCAATGGCCTCCCACATACGCCCTCATTAACAAGAGATACAATGAAGACTAATACAGAACAAGCAATATTGTCTGTCGTGCCAGAACAGTGCCTATCAGAATATAAGGGCAATGACTTTGAGTTGACCTTATTCAGGGCAGTTTGACCGCTATTGTCACCTCTGCCCCATTTCTCTGGCTTCTACGGAGAAAAAAACCCTGTCAGACATCACGCTAAACACACACTTAGTAAGGCTGCTCCTTGTGAATGCGAGATTCTCAGGTTTCCCGAACTGCCCTAGCTGCCGTCGCTTGAGCCGTCAATTTCTGAGACCTAGATTAATCAGTCTTTCCCGTGACAAAGACAAGGGAGGCCAAAACCGTGCGAGATCAGATAGCAAAGGAAACTACGAGGAGGCTGACTCAAACAAAAGACAAATAAATATGTCAAACGTGAGAAATCATGGCATGGAGAAAGGAGACTATCTGACTCGGACCCGGAGCGGGGCACCAACTTCCATAGTCACGCTTGTCACAGAAACAAACCCACAAAAAGAACAACGACAGAATCGAGTAACGAGAGCCGCGTTACTGTTTGGCTTGTACTAAACTGTTCCTTCAGCATCGCAGCAGCTACGCCTAGAGGCGGGGAGCTTCTCACTATAAGTACAGCTCCGACATTGCAAAGCAAATAGACAGGGATATGGAAGCGAATCATAGATCAAGAATAAGTACAAGAACAATACACTGGACATTTATTTCACCCTTTGTCGCCCATATAGCAGTACGGTAAGACATATAATAT